ACAAAAGAAAACCAGCCTGGCCTAAGACACATTGAAAGTAAAAAGAAAATTGATCAGCTAGAAAGGAATGCAGAACATCCTAAATCCTATTTAGCCCAGGATCTGCTAAGACTCATTTTGGGGCCAGGTTCTAGAGGGCTATCATAAGCCAGGCATCTAGAAGCAAACACAAATCTGAGAAATGGAAATACAACACAAGTCTAAATGTTCACAATTACTTAAAGGCACATAACTGAAAAGATCACAATACTAAAATTAAAAGGAAGAAAGCACACAGGTGGCGCAAACACCTAGCACATTATCCACGGTTTATTAAAATGTATAAAAGGACAAAAAAAATACTCAGAAACTAAGAGCATATATAAAGCCTGAAAGACCACAGAGATGGCCAAAATGATGGCAGAGTGTCCAACTACTGGTATGGTCATGTTATAGCTCTGAGGAAAGGGGCATGTCCACGAAACTCATCAGCAGGTCGACCATACCAGCAGTCGGGCACTCTGCCATCATTTCGGGCATCTCTGTGGTCTTACAGGCTTTATATATGAACTTAGTATATGAGCACTTTTTTTGTCCTTTTATACTTTTTATTAAACCGTAGATAATGCGCTAGGTGTTTGTGCCACCTGTGTGCTTTCTTGTAGTTCATTGATCTCCCCATCTGAGGAGGGCGGCATCTCCGGGACTTTATCCATAGGTCATTAATACACCTGATCCCCTTGCCTCTCCCTGGTATTTGACACCTTCGAGGCGCTGGAGAGATAGTACTTTTGTCCAAATACTATAATTAAAATACATTAAAAAACTGGAAGTGATACTGTATATGAGAATAACATAACTTAAAATAATATGAAAAATTGTAGTCTGCACCCATCACAGGAGGTAAGTAGTACTGAAAATAAATATATGATATATATAAAATTATAAAAAAATTGATATCAAATGTAAGCAGGAAACTAAATTGCTGAATACCAATAATCCAATCAATTTTAACATATTGAAATGATACATTTTTTTAAAAAATCATTACTTAATAAATTAAAGTAAGTCCCTCCAATATTAACTATCCTACTAGAACCATTATATGTCTATATATAGTAAACATTAGAGAAAAAAAAAAATATATAAAAAATATATATATATATATATAATATATATATATAAAATATTTAAAAGTTAAAGAAATAAAAAATAAAAAAAAGACAAATACCAACCAACAATAAAATCCCACAAGCCAATCTGTGGACCCATGGTTGTGGAAAGCAGAAAAACCAAAGGAAACAGAATGGATGTGAGCACCTCATTTAGATGACAGTGGGTATATTTACACTCACCAGCCACTTTATTAGGTACACCTTGCTAGTACTGGGCTGGACTCCCTTTTGCCTTATTAACTGCCTTAATTCTTTGTGGCATAGGTTCAGCAAGGTGTTGTAAACATTCTTAAGAGATTTTGGTCCATATTGACATTATAGCAAACACGCAGTTGCTGCAGATTTATCGGATGCACATCCATGAACTGTTGATACAAGGCATGATGGATTAATGCTTTCATGTTGTTTACGACGACAAATTCTGATCCTACTATCTAACAGTTGTGTTCAAAATAATAGCAGTCAGACATCATTGGGGGGGGGGGGGGGGGGGGGGGGGGGGGGGGGGGGGGGGGGGGGGGGGGGGGGGGGGGGGGTTAACACCTGATCAATCACAGTTTTTGGTAGAAATTATATTTCTACATGGCAAATAATTTACTAGCAGGAGTAGCAAAATAATAGAAATCCAACAGACCCAACAGTTATGACATGCATGCTGCTGATTCTGTGTAATTGAATCACTATTGAAAGGGGCATGTTCAAAATAATAGCAGTGTGGAGTTCTATTAGTGAGGTCATTCATTCTTTGAAAAACAGGTGGCAATTATTGCCCTTATTTAAGGAAGGAAGGCAGCAAATGTTGTACATGCTGGTTACAGTGCATTTCTCTCTGAAATTCTGAGGAAAATGTGTCGTTCCAGACATTGTTCAGAAGAACAGCGTACCTGATTAAAAAGTTGATTGGAGAGGGGAAAACATATAAAGAAGTGCAGAAAATTATAGGCTGCTCGGCTAAAATGATCGCAAATGCTTTAAAATGGCAACCAAAACCTGAAAGACGTGGAAGAAAGCGAAAAACTACCATTCGAGTGGATAGAAGAATAGCCAAATGGCAAGGACTCAGCCAACAATCATCTCCAGGAAGATCAAAGAAGGTCTAAAGTTCCCTGTGAGTACTGTTACAATTAGAAGACGCCTATGTGAAGACAAGCCATCTGCAAGAAGCCCCCGCAAAGTCCCCACTGTTGAAGAAAAGACGTGCTGAAGAGGTTACAATTTGCCAAAGAGCACATTGACTGGCCTAAAGAGAAATGGCGCAACATTTTGTGGACTGATGAAAGTAGATTGTTCTTTTTGGTCTAGTGGCTGGATACAGTTTGTCAGACGACCCCCAAACACTGAATTCAAGCCACAGTACACTGTGAAAACAGTGAAGCATGGTTGCGCAAGCATCATGATATGGGGATGTTTCTCATACTACGTTGTTGGGCCTATTTATCGCATACCAGGGAACATGGATCAGTTTGAATACAACAGAATACTTGAAGAGGTCATGCTGCCTTATGCTGAAGAGGAAATGCCCTTGAAATGGGTGTTCCAACAAGACAACGACCCTAAACACACCAGTAAACGTACAACATCTTGGTTCCAGACCAATAAGATTGACGTTATGGAGTGGCCAGCCCAATCCCCGGATCTTAATCCAATAGAAAACTTGTGGGGTGACATGAAAAATTAAGTTTCTGAGACAAAACCAAGAAATAGAGAAGAACTGTGGAATGTAGTCCAATCATCCTGGACTGGAATACCTGTTCACAGGTGCCAGACATTGGTTGACTCCATACAACACAGATGTACAGCAGTTCTCAGAAAACAGTGCTTATACAGCTAAATATTAATTAAGTGATCCAAAGGAAAGCAAAATCTTCAAACTTTTTCAGTTTATATATTGAATGTTTGAGTTTGTAAAGAAGAATAACAAACACTGCTATTTTTTTGAACAGTCTAATATTCACTTTTCTTCAATGTTTTTAGAGGAACAACACAAATTTTGATATATTTTTCTTCATGTTTTGATTTGGAATAGAATGTGTAGTGTTCCCAATGCATTTGTGTGTATGGAAATAAAAAGCTATTAGAGGGATTTTGAGCTTTATTCGCTTTTTTCAAACACACTGCTATTATTTTAAACACAACTGTAAATGTTGCAGCTGAAATCGAGACTCATCAGACCAGGCAACATTTTTCCAATTCTCTATTGACCAATTTTGTGAGCCTGTGCGAATTGTAGCCTCCATTTCCTGTTCTTAACTGACGGGGTTGCACCTGGTGTGGTCTTCCTCTACTGTAGCCCATCTGCTTCAAATTCGACGTGTTGTGCATTCAGAGATGGTATTCTGCATACCTTTGGTGGTAACAAGTGGTTATTTGAGTTATTGCTGCCCTTCTATCATCTTGAACCCATCTGCCCATTCTAACTTTGTCTTCTGACATCAATAAGGCATTTTGGTCCACACAACTCCACTCACTGGATATTTCTCTTTTTCAGACCATTCTCTGTAAACCCTAGAGATGGTTGTGCGTGAAAATCCCAGTAGATGAGCAGTTTTTTTAAATACTCAGACCAGCCCAGCTGGCACCAACAACCACGCCACATTCAAAGTCACTTAAATCCCCTTTCTTCCCTATTCTGATGCTAAGTTTTAACTTCAGCAAGTCATCTTCGCTATGTCTACATGCCTAAATGTATTAAGTTGCTGCCATGTTATTGGCTGATTAGCAATTTGTGTAACCAAGTAATTTAACAGATGTACCTAATAAAGTGACTGGTGACTGTATGTCCCCGTTTAATACATTAGGACTAATGCAGGCCATAGATGGGGAGAAAAACGGCAGATTTTTCTTTTAAAAAACGAAAATTCGATCGTTCAAGCGGCTGACGTTGCCATCAATGGTAAAAAAAATCGGCCGATTTTCATCCCTTCTACAGCCAGCAAAAAGTGTCCCTGAAGAGAGCTCTGCTATTTCTGACAGTTCCTTGACATTTACAGCGGTTGAAACATTGTATCTATTTATTTCCATTTAGGATACAGATGTTTTTATTCGGAAACAAATAGATACAATGTTTCAACCGCTGTAAATGTCAAGGAACTGTCAGAGAACTGTCAGAAATAGCGGAGCTCTCTGCAGAGACACTTTTTGCTGGACTGGAATTATTCTTATTTTCATCCTACTTCTTCTTCTTCTTCTTCTTCTTCTTCTTCTTCATCCTCATCCTCTTCTTCTTCTTCTTCTTCATCCTCATCCTCTTCTTCATCCTCATCCTCTTCTTCATCCTCATCTTCTTCTTCTTCATCCTCATCTCTCTTCTTCTTCTTTTTCATCCTCATCCTCTTCTTCATCCTCATCCTCTTCTTCATCATCATCCTCTTCTTCTTCTTCATCATCATCCTCTTCTTCTTCTTCTTCATCATCCTCATCCTCTTCTTCTTCTTCATCCTCATCCTCTTCTTCTTCATCCTCTTCTTCTTCATCATCCTCATCCTCTTCTTCTTCTTCATCCTCATCTTCTTCTTGCTCATCCTCATCCTCTTCTTCTTCTTCTTCATCATCCTCATCCTCTTCTTCATCATCCTCATCCTCCTCCTCTTCTTCTTCTTCTTCTTCATCATCCTCATCCTCTTCTTCATCCTCATCCTCTTCTTCATCATCATCATCCTCATCCTCTTCTTCTTCATCCTCTTCTTCTTCTTCATCCTCATCCTCTTCTTCTTCTTCTTCATCCTCATCCTCTTCTTCTTCATCCTCATCCTCTTCTTCTTCATCCTCTTCTTCTTCCTCTTCTTCATCCTCTTCTTCATCCTCTTCCTCTTCTTCTTTTTCTTCTTTTTGTCTTCCTTTTGCAGGTCACTGCTCTCATGCGCAGTTTTTTTATCGGTAAAAAATCGGCCGATTCGCCCACTAATTGCCGCGAAAATCGGCCGATCGGCAAAATCGGCCGATTTTTTTCCAACTTTACCGAAAAAAAAAAACGGCCAAAATACCGAAAATCGGCCGACCAAATCGCCCACTAACGATCCGAAAATCGGCCGATTTTATTTTCGGCCGAAAAATCGGCCGATTTTCGACCCATCTATGGCTTGCATAAGGGTATGTAGCCTATGGATCCGAAATGTTTCACATCCTACATTTCATTCTACTCACAAATAGAATTTTGCATGGACATTGCAATATGTGTATTACATACTCGTTGAACAGGTAATGAATTGACAAATGGAATAATTTGTATCTTTGTGGAAAAACACAGATTGTCAATGTTCCATGAATTGAAACGTGAGACACCCACGTTTTTTACATTGATACATACCCACCTTGTTGTCAAAGAATCCACATAAACCAGATCGTGGTCTGTTATAACTGACCAATTTGCTGGGGGCAATCATATTTTTCACTGTTCTAGCTCTCCTAAACACAACATCAGGGGTTTTTGGTAAGGAGGGACCTAAAAGGGAATCTGAGAATCTGGTTGCTGATCTACCAGAGCCAAATTCTGTACATAATCCATAATTCCTTCTGTGATGGAGATCCATTAACAAAACATGTGTACACTAAGGCTCCATTCACATTAAGGCGTTTTAAAACACGGGCGGAATCGCCTCGATTCTGGCCGGGATTTGAAAACACAGTGTGACAATGTGAAAATGTGCCATCACGTTTTGAAGCACCTTTCAATAGCACCTGAAAATGCAGGGAGTTTTTGCCGCGACTGCGCAAGCAAGATCCCGGAACACGCGTTGCCCAAAAATTGTTCCGGAACCTTTTTTGGGCATCGTGCGTCCCATGATTTTGCTTGCACGCTCGTGGCGTATTTATCACATGGAAAAATGTGCCACGATCACAGAAAAAACACCCCACATTTTCAGGTGCCATTGAGATGGCATTTTCACATTTTCACACCACATTTTCAAAAAGTAGATTCCAGACTGGGCATAAAAACCCTAAATAAGTGACAAAAATAATCCTTATGAATGGGGTTATCACACTGGTAGTAATTTACCACCAAATAAACTGAAAAACATGAAAAGCAAAGTGTAAAGGGGGTGCAGATAAATACCTGGATGAATAAACATTTATCATTCTTAAACATAAAAAATGTACATCAAAAACAGTAAACACCAGGCTGAGCACCCCACCCAAACCGTGACATTAATAAATATTGTGAATGCAATAGGCAAATGCAGTCCCAGTATGTAATAAGAGGTACATAGTTCAAACAGTCTATAATCCCAGAATCTTCAAATCTTTACATAAATTCACCAGTGACATTCAGATTGACATAATCACCAATTGTGCTCCTCCACCTTCTAGCATGAGGCGTAGCAAGATGGTGGCTGCCTTCCTTAATCGTAACTGCTGTCACCGAACATGTCTATATTACAAGGTGCAGAAGGTTGACGGGGCCCATTACACGCCTAAGAGAAAAAACTATATAGCATCTTTGAAGACAGCCATCATATTTCAAACTCTGTTACATTCCTGTCTGGGAGTGACAGCGAGTGATACCTATGTTTCATATAAAAGATCAGAATTACAACAGCAGTTGCCATGAATGGTACTTGTTTACATTAAAACACATGGTGATGGATGTAATGTGGGTGTGTGTAGGGTTAGCTATGGAGTTAAAACACGAAGTAAAACATATAATGTCATTTTCTTGCATATACGGTATGTCCTTTTTCATTTTATCCAACCTATGTTTAGCTTGACTTCTATATTTTCACTTATTGATTTATTTATGTTTTAATGAACAGACTTAAAAAGTAAAACATTGTAACTTAAATACTGGTTTCACCATTTTCATTTTTAAGTTTGCCTTCAGTTTACCTGTTTTAGCATGTAGATGACTAAACCTTATCTGATCTCATAAAACATTCTCCTACATAAAAAAGGAGCAATTTTTCATTATTGACAAACTGTAGTGTCATAATATCATGGCCTTTCAGGTCATCATCTTTGAAAGTCATCCATGACAATATCACACTGATAATCAGAACAAATGGTTATAATTTTATTCATGTAAAGGTAGCCAATCAACAAATGTAGTTTTATATGTACACTGACATGACTAATACCTAAATCAAATAAATAGTACAGGCGAGAAAGGACACATATGCATGTAACTTATCAATCACAAAAATGAGGATAGATTAGTATTACATTAAAATGGAGTGGACAGTCATAAACTGAATACAATGCTGTAAAAGGCATTAAAGAGTGGAAAACCATACAAAACAATGATAGCACTGTGTTGTAACAAAGACAAAAGCACTGACTTTGTTTTTTTTTTCATGCTTAGCAGGTTGAAGCCAATAATAAAAATATGTGAATGTGGGATCCCAAAATATCATATAAATTAAATAAATGTGACAGTGTTAAAAATATTAATAGGTGCTCATCAAATAATACCATCAACACAAATATAATAGATAGCTCCAAACATGTGAAAAAAACATATGAAAAAAACATATCCATATATATATGCATAAAACAAACCTACACATATATATGATATAATCACACGTGCCTGTTGTGAAGTGAAATAACCATAATAATGGTACAAACGAAAATGTATCTCAAAGTCCAAAAATTATTATTGGTGACAAAACAGTAAACGGTGCTCCCGGAAAAGTTGTAGTATCAATCTCTCAAATGAGACAAAGGAATCCTCCCATAGTGCAGTATATTTAATTATATCATAGGGACAGATAACACTTTAGCAATAAGACTTACATAGCAGCCAGTCCAAGAAAACCTCATGCTTTCAGATGAGGATATATCTGTTTGGGTGTACAGCTGGATACACAGGTGTACCAAGATGGCCGCTACGCCAGAAATACGTCACCACGTCGAGCCGACGCGTTGCGTCACAGTATCATGTGACTTCCTCAGGGCTGTCAATCACAGTGACGATCTCGCTTTAAATACCCATCCTGTTGAGAGGAACCACCCTCATGGGAGGGGTTTTCCTCATCATCATTCCACCACTACTTCCCGCTATAAACTTACTGCCCTTATATCAAATCATATAGCCTCCATTTTAATGGATAAAAACAAAATTTTATTCTATATATATAAAAATCAAAAATATATTGTTTATTAAAGTAAATTTAAAAAAATATATAAAAAATAATAAAAAATAAAAAACCATCTCTCCCATAATTCCATAAACTATTCTCAATCATTCCAATATTATATTATCAGCATATGATCTCCTATCATATATAAGGAATCTATAAAAAAAATATTTTTTAAATAAATATCTGGAAAGACATATATACATGTGCACATAAAAATAACGCACATATACACACATATTCCTGCCCTCAATAAAGTATATTATCTCCAAAAAATTATCTCCAACAAATTAGAATAAAAAAATAAAAAAGGATGATCTAAAAATATTAAAATTATTTTTATTAAAACTATATATATTTTATCCCCCCCCCTTCACCAGCTATAACGGACCTACTCTAAAAAAAAAACTCACACACACATATCCTATCCAAAAGCATGAGTTTACATAATCAATGCATATTAAAAATATTAAATAGTATATGTATATATATCTATAGCACCATCTCAAATACCCTCAAAAATCAGAAATATAAACAATTTAAATCAAACTCAATGTTCAATCCATTGGGAAATACGTATGCATGTTATAAATCCATTTTGACTCTAATTTGCTCAAAGAACGCACCTTATGGCCTCCTCGCCAATGTCTCTTATATTTAGTGATACCCCAAAATTTCAAATCACTAGGGTCTTTGTTGTGAAATTTGGCAAAATGCTTTGAAACGCTATGCTTCGGGAAACCCCTTCTTTATAAATAATATAATAATAATAATAATAATATAAGAGACATTGGCGAGGTAGCCATAAGGTGCGTTCTTTGAGCAAATTAGAGTCAAAATGGATTTATAACATGCATACGTATTTCCCCAATGGATTGAACATTGAGTTTGATTTAAATTGTTTTATTTCTGATTTTTGAGGGTATTTGAGATGGTGCTATAGATATTATATACATATACTATTTAATATTTTTAATATGCATTGATTATGTAAACTCATGCTTTTGGATAGGATATGTGTGTGTGAGTTTTTTTCGGAGTAGGTCCGTTATAGCTGGTGAAGGGGGGGGGGATAAAATATATATAGTTTTAATAAAAATAATTTTAATATTTTTAGATCATCCTTTTTTATTTTTTTATTCTAATTTGTTGGAGATAATTTTTTGGAGATAATATACTTTATTGAGGGCAGGAATATGTGTGTATATGTGCGTTATTTTTATGTGCACATGTATATATGTCTTTCCAGATATTTATTTAAAAAATATTTTTTTAGATTCCTTATATTTGATAAGAGATCATATGCTGATATATAATATTGGAATGATTGAGAATAGTTTATGGAATTATGGGAGAGATGGTTTTTTATATTTTTTATATTTATATATTTTTTAAATTTACTTTAATAAACAATATATTTTTGATTTTTATATATATGGAATAAAATTTCGTTTTTATCAATTAAAATGGAGGCTATATGATTTGATATAAGGGCAGTAAGTTTATATATGTTTTCTATAGGCATAAGGTATATAGATTGTAGTAGGTGCATCATTATACAGTGTTCGGTGGATCCCTGTATATGTGCCCGCTATAGTTACTAGCATTTAGTATTGACATAGGAGTCCCCAGTGGTCTTCAGTGTTATGGCCGCGGGAAGTAGTGGTGGAATGATGATGAGGAAAACCCCTCCCATGAGGGTGGTTCCTCTCAACAGGATGGGTATTTAAAGCGAGATCGTCACTGTGATTGACAGCCCTGAGGAAGTCACATGATACTGTGACGCAACGCGTCGGCTCGACGTGGTGACGTATTTCCGGCGTAGCGGCCATCTTGGTACACCTGTGTATCCAGCTGTACACCCAAACAGATATATCCTCATCTGAAAGCATGAGGTTTTCTTGGACTGGCTGCTATGTAAGTCTTATTGCTAAAGTGTTATCTGTCCCTATGATATAATTAAATATACTGCACTATGGGAGGATTCCTTTGTCTCATTTGAGAGATTGATACTACAACTTTTCCGGGAGAAGAGCCAGAGTGGGAATACTAAATTCTGAGAAAACTGCCTTTGGAGTGATTTGGTGCTTGGAGGATCCGTGAGAGGGATCCACTACTGCTCTTTGACCCGCAAGGGTCGAAGGGATGAGG